GAGCCCCCCCAGAAGCTGCGGCTGGAGGCGGCCGCGCCCTTCCTGGGCTCCGGTGAGGGGGGGGGCGCGACCCCCGGGGGGGCGGGGGGGGCACCGGGGCGGGACCCCCAGACGGGACCCCAGATGGGGAGCCCAAAATAGGGACCCCAAAACGGGACCCCCAAAATAGGGACCCCCAAAACGGGGCGGGGACCCCCGGGTGGGAACGGAACCCCCAAAACCGGGACCCCCAAAGCGGGGCAAAGACCCCCAAAAGGGGCAGGGATCCCCAGAGCGGGGACCCCCGGGTGGGAACGAGACCCCCAAAGCGGGGCAGGGACCCCCGAGCCGCTCCCCCAAAACCGGGACCCCCAGAGCGGGGCTGCCCCCACTGACGCCCCCTCCCCACTTCCCGCAGGTCTCTCGGGCTACTCCAAGGCCCCGGCGCTTTTGGGGGCGGGGGGCTACGGGCGCCCCCCCCTCCCCGAGTACCCCTGGGGGTGGGGGTCGTACCTGCCGGGGGCGCTGCCGCTGCCCCCCCCAGCCAAGCTGCCCCCCCCCGCCGCGCTCTACCCCCCCCCCTTCTACCTGCCGCCCCCTCCCCCCGCGCCCCCCGCGCCCCCCGCGCCCCCCCGCGCCGGGGGGGGGGCAGGGGGGGCGGGGGAGGGGTCGGACTCGGAGCTGGAGGTGACGGATGGGGGAGGGGCGACCTCGGGGGACGAGGCCGAGACCCCCCCGCCGCCCCGGAGCCCCCTCCCACCGCAGCCCCCCGCCCGCGGGAGGGGCCCCGCCCGCACCTGAGAGACCCCCGGGAAGTGGGGGGGGGCGGGGGGGGGAGTCCCAGCCCGGCTCTGTAAATTGGGGGGGGGGTCCCATGTACGACCCTGACTCCCCCTAAATTTGGGGGAGGAGGTCCCATGCACCCCCCCAACCCAAGGGGGCCCAGCCCCCCGCGCCCCGCCCCTTTCCCATGCTGATTTTGGGGAGGGGGCGACTTTGTGCCCGCCCTCCCCCCCTTTTTAAGCCCCCCCCCATCGGAAGTGCAATATGGTCGTGCCCCCCCCGCTTGTGTCGTTGTGATGGAGGAAGAAGCCGCCTCCCCCCAATAACGCCCCCTCCCCCAATATCGCCCCCTCCCCAAATTCCTGCGCCCCCCCCC